TGTGTGTGTGAGTGTGTGAGAGTGGGAGACTGTGTGAGTGTGTGTGAGTGCGTGTGTGTGAGAGTGTGAGTGTGAGAGAGTGTGTGTGTGTGTGTGTGTGAGAGTGAGTGTGAGAGTGTGTGTGTGTGTGTGTGTGAGAGTGAGTGTGAGAGTGTGTGTGTGTGTGTGTGTGAGAGTGAGTGTGAGAGTGTGTGTGTGTGTGTGTGTGAGAGTGAGTGTGAGAGTGTGTGTGTGTGTGTGTGTGAGAGTGTGAGTGTGAGAGAGTGTGTGTGTGAGTGTGAGAGTGTGTGAGAGTGTGAGACTGTGTGAGTGTGTGTGAGTGCGTGTGTGTGAGAGTGTGAGTGTGAGAGAGTGTGTGTGTGAGTGTGAGAGTGTGTGAGAGTGTGAGACTGTGTGAGTGTGTGTGAGTGCGTGTGTGTGAGAGTGTGAGTGTGAGAGAGTGTGTGTGTGAGTGTGAGAGTGTGTGAGAGTGTGAGACTGTGTGAGTGTGTGTGAGTGCGTGTGTGTGAGAGTGTGAGTGTGAGAGAGTGTGTGTGTGAGTGTGAGAGTGTGTGAGAGTGTGAGACTGTGTGAGTGTGTGTGAGTGCGTGTGTGTGAGAGTGTGAGTGTGAGAGAGTGTGTGTGTGAGTGTGAGAGTGTGTGAGTGTGTGTGAGTGAGTGAGAGTGTTGCGTCTTGCACATGTATGAATCTGTGGCTCCCAAGTGCCTGGAGAGAGAAACCAAACACGTCAACAGCATCTCTCACAACAGTGTTACTGACTGCTGTAACTAACTAATGTTCAACTAGTAGTTCAAATGTTAAACAAATAACATGTTCAAACCACGTTCGGTCTTTAATGATTAGTGTGTTTATTCATTTACAAGCACCAGAGGTTTTAAAACACTTCACTACACACAGTGACAGTATTATTTACACTGTTCATCTGCTCTTTTGGACCTTCATTTCTGAGCAAGTGTTCGTTCACTTCAGATGTGTCTGAAACTGACCTGTTTTTCAGTCAGTTTTAAACTGAACAAACTGGTTTGCATATCGTTCTTTACAACAAAATACACCTATTTTGATATTTTTTCATCTCGTTTAGTGGCATTCAGACATTTTGAATGTACTTCGCGTGATTCGATGTCTCGCGTCACAGGTGATCTGCTTGTTCAGTGGAGTTTCAGTTCTAGAATCTCTCTGTTTCTCAGATGTTTGATGTTTCGGAGCAGAATCGCTCATATGATTCATTGCGGAGTTCGTTACACAGTGATTCGTGTTCCAGTGATTCATAGTTGCTGTTCCAACAGAATCGAACAAATTTCTGACTGAAATGACTTGTTTGGAAGCACCTGACTGTTGTTTGTAAATTGAAAAGATTTGTGCCAAATGAATGTGTATTAAACTAATGACATTATAGTTGAGCTTTTTCCGCCAAACACGTCAACAGCATCTCTCACAACAGTGTTACTGACTGCTGTAACTAACTAATGTTCAACTAGTAGTTCAAATGTTAAACAAATAACATGTTCAAACCACGTTCGGTCTTTAATGATTAGTGTGTTTATTCATTTACAAGCACCAGAGGTTTTAAAACACTTCACTACACACAGTGACAGTATTATTTACACTGTTCATCTGCTCTTTTGGACCTTCATTTCTGAGCAAGTGTTCGTTCACTTCAGATGTGTCTGAAACTGACCTGTTTTTCAGTCAGTTTTAAACTGAACAAACTGGTTTGCATATCGTTCTTTACAACAAAATACACCTATTTTGATATTTTTTCATCTCGTTTAGTGGCATTCAGACATTTTGAATGTACTTCGCGTGATTCGATGTCTCGCGTCACAGGTGATCTGCTTGTTCAGTGGAGTTTCAGTTCTAGAATCTCTCTGTTTCTCAGATGTTTGATGTTTCGGAGCAGAATCGCTCATATGATTCATTGCGGAGTTCGTTACACAGTGATTCGTGTTCCAGTGATTCATAGTTGCTGTTCCAACAGAATCGAACAAATTTCTGACTGAAATGACTTGTTTGGAAGCACCTGACTGTTGTTTGTAAATTGAAAAGATTTGTGCCAAATGAATGTGTATTAAACTAATGACATTATAGTTGAGCTTTTTCCGTCATTCATATTTGCTTGCTGATGTGAGGGAAGTGTGTTTCAGTCATAAAGCAGCAGATGAAGCTCTTTTTCTCTGCTGACACTGATTTAAGAAGAATAACCTTGCATTAAAATATGAAAATACAATCTAGGGTTACAAAAAAGCCATTTTCCATAACACAGAGCTGATTAAAAACAGGGAAATAATGTATAATAGCCTGAAATAGCAATGCAAAGAGTTACAACGATATCAAATATCAAACCATTGTTTTGCACAACAGAAATGGTATGAATGAACTGTATTTAACTACAAAATATGAAAAGCGTGAGAACTTGTATGCAATGCTTTTTCCTGAGAAAACCGTTCAAGCTTTTAGTTCAGTTCTCCCGTCACTGTTTAGTGACTCTTGTATGTCATTGTGATTTACTTGTTCACGAGATTGCCAAAAGACAGTAACTAACATTAATATTTAGTTTAAAGGACAGACTTCACAAAAAACAGTATACTGGATGTTTGAAACTAACGCACATAAGAGAAGAAAGCGTGTGTGTTATTGGGATTTTGATTCAAAACCCTGTGACAACTTGCCCCGATCTCTTCTTTTTTTTTAAATTGAGTAGCAAAAGAAAAAATATAATAATTGATTTAAATTATACATATGTTTATGTATTCATTTTATAAAGTATAAATAATGCAACTGCTGGGTCTGCTTAAATGTACTGAGTTTAATTAAAAGGTTCATTTGAGTTTCAATTCAGTCGAAACGGTTTGAGCCCCATTCAGCTGCATTATTATTATTATTATTATTAACAATGGGATTATTTTAAACCGTTTAATGGAAGTCATATTTTAATCACAAAATCAATTGACAAATTAGAACACAAAATCAGAAAAATTACATATATATGAATGGGATTTTGGAAAGCCTACAGCATTTAGAGCTTAAAAGTTCTGTTTCAAGTGTGTAATTGAGGTGAATCTGAATGATTTAATAGGGTTTATTCTCTTATTCTCCACTAGGTG